GGCAGCTCTGATCTTTAGCCAGGCAGCTCTGCTGCTCACAGTCACCAGTCCTGCAAGTGATTTTCGGCAACGTAGTCCCTAGGTGTGTGTAAGCACCACAAAAGAAGATCTTGCACTCACTACAAACACAACTAGAAAGATGCATCAGGGCTAGGAAGTGTGGCACTTGGTGAACAAGGATGCAAAGCTTCACAATTCAGAGTGCAAAGCTCAGTAAGCTTGTCACTGAGCCTGTGTCTGCTGAGCTCAAAATGTGCAAGCACTATGGACAAGCAAGCCCAGCCACGGTCGCTATAACACCGACGAAGGTGGAGCAAGTTCAATAAAATTTCACACACTAACATCCCTCCACGGGCTGGCACAACACCATGGCCAGGTTTAGTTTGATTATTTTTTGAAAAGAGAATTTGTTTTCAGAATTTATGATATGTTTGTTTCACATAAACACACATATTTCAGGCTTTCCTTTCAAACTGTTAAGAGATCTGACAGCATGGTGCTTACTGGCAGACTTGTAAGCTAGCTGTCTCTTGAAGATGGCCAGCAACTTGCTCTCGAACTTTTGCATCTAGGTCACTCCCATACCCTCCAAGTTTGCCAACCTCATCAAGTTCCTGGGCCCATCTGTGTTCTCTCCCCATTGTAGGGTAACACTGTTTTGTCCTTCCTGCATAGCCTCAAGCAGTTTAGGTTTATTGGGTTGCTCTCATCACAGTACCCGCATTCCTCTGTGTTTATTTGTAACTTCTTTCTTTGCGCTTTGTTGACTTGTAAATATTGTTTTTCTCTTCTCCCTAAGTCCTTTGCATAGTCTATTCAGAGCAATGTCCTTTTTGTATGGACACAAGAAGACATGCTTTTGTAATGTGACTCTCAGTGATATTTTCCTCCTGGGCATCTGTTCTCTCACCTAAGCCTCAGTTGCCTTTACTTCCTAGCACTCCCCCAAAGCAGGGTCCGGATGAGGGACTGGATGGAACCAGGGCAAGCGGTAAGCTATGTGCTACGCTGGTATTGAGATGGGCCTGGCCAAAGGGCCATAATGCTTAAAGTCAAGAGCTTGGGCATGGACAAATGCTGTCATGATCCAAAAGGTAATAAATAGATTTGGACCCTGCTAGGGTTAGGAATGATTAATCTGGCATGAGTGCTATAGTCTGAGTTTGTGGCAAGATGTTCCCAGGAGAGCTGCCCTACAAGCCTCAATGTTATCTCTTACTGTGTCCATACAAAAATCGCTAGTATTGACATGTTGATAGTTATTGGACTGAGGAAAGGAGAAAAACACCTTAGGAGGTATTTTGCCGGGGCAGTCAGGATTGGCTTTAGAATACCTATTAGGTAGGCCTTCAGGAAGGGCTTTCTTATGTTGATTTTGCTACCTGACTGAGTGGAGTGTCAGCCCAGACTACAGGGGAGTTGCAGGGAAGAGAGCGGGAGAGAAGAGAGAGAGAGAGCAGGCCGGCAAGATGGACTTCGGAGAGGCTAGCAAGGGGGAACACGTGCTTGAGAGAACCTGGGCCCTCCATAACATAAAGTTCTTTTTTTTATAATATAAATTTCTTCTATGGGATAAACTTCCTTGTAATAAACTGCTACTAAGATCAACCAGCCTGACCCTTGCCTCTTCCTTCTTCTGCCCTTGGCAAACAGCCGTCCCGATCCAGGCCACACACAGCAGCTCAAGAGCACTGAACGCGGCGGTGAGACAGAGCCATCCAGAGAGCCCGTGAACGCACAACCTTCAGCATGCTTAGTTTTTTACACCCCATGCTCAGGAGGAAGAGCTGCAAAAGAGAAAACTCCAGTCCCTTTGACCCACCTTGTGTCCTGACAACAGGAGGTAAGCATAGCAAGATTCCTGAGCAGAATTCTTCATGCCTTTCTCTGGAAATTTTGGATCACTGACAAAAAAGAAGGCAACGGGCGCCTGAACCATTATTAATGAATTATTGAAATGATAACCATGCCAACTTCAGTGATTAAAAATATTAAAACAGGAGGTCACCCACTTTACAAATGTTGTATCCAGTGAGAGAAAGATGATCACAGAATAATTTTTCTGTGTGTGTTACCAGGTGTCTGCCAGGTGATGAAGTATCAGAAGTGACAGGGTTGTTTGAAAGGGACCAATGCTAAGTTTTCATTCTTCCCATGTCTTTACTCTGAAGATTTTAAAGCACTACACCAGCTGTCAGGATCAGTTCAATACAATAATACCTACATGGGCCACATTTGTTGTTTAAATGTTATTGCAATGGAAGTGGTAAAGATCATGCTAAGAGAAATTAGTTGAAGGAGAAAGACAAATACAGAATAATCATATTCATATACTATGTATGAAGAAACGCAGCAAGCAAGGAATGAAAAATATCTCATGAAAACAAACTCAGGACCTGAACCAAGAACTGAAGGTACTAAGTGGAGAGAAAGTGAGAACGGGGTGAAAGGGACCTACTGATAGTGGTAGAAGGATGTTGATACTTTGTTTAACAATGTAAAACATAAAACTAAAACATAAACAGTCACACTCTTGTAGACCAATGTTACTGCAATAGATTTGGAAAATCATCATAACTGAAAAAATGGTATATTTCTTAGCAGTAAAGTGAAGGAATTGTTAAAAACTGGTGAAATTAACTTGTTTTATGTTTTATTTACCTACATATCTACAATGTTGTCATTTCAAAGTGTAACTAATGTCAGAATTATTGCTGTGATTTGGACGCTTTAAAAACAAAACCTAGGGGCTGGAGCGATAGCACAGCACATAGGGCATTTGCCTTGTATGCAGTCAACCTGGGTTCAAGTCCCAGCATCCCATATGGTCCCCCTGAGCACCGCCGGGAGTAATTTCTGACTGCATGAGCCAGGAGTAACCCCTGTGCATAGCCAGGTGTGACCCAAAAAGAAAAAAAAGCCTATGACTTCAAGATCTAGTGCATTATGTATATATATATATATATATATATATATATATATATATATATTTATACAGGGCTGGAGCGATAGCACAGCGGGTAGGGCGTTCGCCTTACAAGCGGCCAACATGGCTGACCCGAGTTCGATTCCTCCGCCCCTCTCGGAGAGCCCGGCAAGCTACCGAGAGTATTCGATATGCCAGACACAGTAACAACAAAGTCCCCAATGGAGACGTTACTGGGCCCGCTCGAGCAAATTGACGATCAACGGGAGGGCCTTTACCTTTACCTTTATATATATATATATATATATATATATATATATATATTGCATTTTTATCACATTTTTTGCTTGGGTCAGCTATACTGTAGTGCTTTAAAAAGCTACATGTGACCAGGAGTAGCCTTATTGAAGTGTGAGAGTGATTGTGAAAGTTCTAATTTTCCTTAGGTTCACAAAGCAGGGTAGGTGGAGAAAAGGCAAGTGTGAATTCCCCACAAATTCTGCAGAGAAACTGGTCACGTCGCAGGAAACCTACACCCACCCTAAGCCTGAACCAGATGCCCAGATGTGCTGGTTCCCTGCTGCAGCATCCCTCGGAGACCCTGTGGCAGAGGAAGCAACACATGATGTGAAGGGGAAGCGACAGCCTAGATTCCTGGACAAAACCCAGCAAAATGACCTTGGGCAACTTACTTAACCTGCCTGGCTCTCAGATTTCTTTTTCATAAATACGATTAATTTTCTTCATCACTGAGTTCTGAGGAGCAAATAAATAATAAAAGCAAACAACACCAAATAGATACTGTAGAAATTTACAAGTTTTTGATTGATGGTTCTTTTCCTGTGCGCACACACATTTCCTGCATGCATATAACATATAAAGTGATAGAGACAATGGGGACAAAGAATTAGATTCATGAGAACTCTTTTTTTAAAAATTTTTTTCAAATGTTAAAGAAAGTACCAATGATCGTCTACCACTAAATCCCAGGTTTCCTCCCCCCTCTCCCCCAATGTAGATACTATATATATATATATATATATATATATATATATATATAAAACTTAAGGGCTGGAGTGATAGCACAGCGGTCAGGCGTTTGCCTTGCGTGCAGCCAGCCCGGCCGAGCCGGGTTCAATTTCTCCACCCCTCTTGGAGAGCCCAGCCAGCTACCGAGAGTATCTTGCCCGCACAGTAAGGCCCGGCAAGCTACCCATGGTGTATTCAATATGCCAAACACAGTAACAACAAGTCTTAAAATGGAGACATTACTTGGCCCGCTCGAGAAAATCGATGAACAACTAGGAGGACAGTGACAGTGACTCGTGCTAAGTGCTCACTAGGTGCAAAGGTAAGTGCAAAGCATTGACTATCGATGATATAACTTAAAGCCTTTATTCTATCCTCTTATAAGTTATGCTTTCAATTCACAATTCTGCACCTAAGTTATGCAGATATTTTTGAAAAAGAAAGGAGAGGAGAGGAGAGAAGAGAGGAGAGGACTGGAGCAGGAGAGGAGGGGAGGGGAGAGATGGGGTGGGGAGAAGAGGAGAAATTGGTTGTTTTCCCTGGGTTTGCCCATTTACCTGGAGTTCCAGATAAAAAAGGGGAGGAGGGGGGCAATAGGTTTTGTGGGTACGCCAATCCTCTGCAAACTGGCTGTGTAGGAAACTTCAATAGGCTTGATTTACATAAAGACTGCAAGAAGTCATTACATAAATAAAGCAACTTTCTGGAGCCTGGATAGGATAGGGGTTAAACTCTTTGCTTTGAAATCAGCCAACTCTGGTTTAATCCCCAGAACGGCATATGGAGCCCCAGGCACCCACAGAAATGGAGCCGGGAGTAAGCTCTGAGCACTGACCCCAAAACCAGAAAGGAAAGAGGGAATAAACCTCCTGCACCCTTAGCTTCTGCAGGCTCCCCCACTGAGAAAGGTGTCTCTGCCTTGTCTTAGGGTGTCCAGGAGTCTGTCCCAGTAAGACTTAATCACCTCAAGGTCCTAGTGCAAGCCCTTTGCTGTAACCCCTCAGGCACCATGGAAGACTGCCTTAAAGGGAAAAAGAACACTCACCAGTTCATTCTCCTCCCCCGGATTCAGCAAAGCGCGGTGATCTTTCTTCCTTTGCTTCTCCATTTAAACAGGACTGCTGAGGGTCTGTCTGGTGAACTTTTCGGCCAATGTCAAAGCCCTGGGCACAGGTGTATGCAGAACAGTCCAGCTACTTGTCATTGCTGTTCTCAGGTGCTTTTAAAATCTCTTAGCACATACCTTACCTATTAGGCTAACAAAGGAAAGAGAGGAAACATTCTCAGCCACGGGATTGGTCTGTTAATTGATCTGCTTATTATTTTTTCCCTTTTCCTAGTGCTTATTTGCTGAACTGTTTATTAAAGCCTGTAGACTTAAGCTATTGAACTAGAAAAACAAAACATTCCAAGTGCTGTCTTTTAGTGTCAACAAATAAAGAAAAGTGGCTACTTTGTTAAAAACTTGAATGAATAAAAATTAAACCAGGAGATGAATAAAATGAACTGTAGAAAAGTAATAGACATATTGTAGTTTCAATAGGAAAAAAATATTTTTGAGGAGGAGGAGGGGTGGTTCAGGCTATACCTGTCAATGTTCAGGGCTTACTCCTGGCTCTGGGTTCAGGAGTCACTCCTGGCAGTGCTCAGGTGACCATATCTGGTGCCAAGCATTGTTGGATAGAAAATACAGGAATTATTTTGGAAATTAAGACATCTAAGTTCTAGTCATTGCTTACTGCAAACCCTGAACAAGCCACTTAAAAATTTGAACTTTAGGTTCTAACAGGTATAGTGTCAATACCAATGATAGACTTGACATCTTCAGATCTAAACTGCTATTTGTAAAAATTAGTGAAAAGTGGGGCCGGAGTGACAGTACAGTGGGTAGGGTGTTTGTCTTGTATGCAGCCAACCCAGAATTGATCCCCAGCATCCCATATGATCCCTCCCCAGCATTGTCAGAAGTGATTCCTAAGTGCAGAGCCAGGAGTAACCCCTGTGAATCGCTGGGTGTGACCTAAAAAGCCAAAAGAATAAAATAAAATAATGAAAAGTAGGCAACTCACAACCCCCATCACGTTCAATAGAAGAGAAACTTTTATCATCATAGAATTCAGAGCCAAAGAAATGAATAAGTGAATTCAAATTTAAAACCCAACAACCAGTCTGTGAGCACTTTCTTAAATGGGGAACAGTTGTGGACTTTTACCCAAAATCTGTGAACCAGTTCATCTGTTTGTCTCTGTATAGCTACTTGTGCCTTTTATTTTCATCCCCCAAAAGGCTTGCTTGGAAAGGAAATTCTGATCTTAAAACGGACTTTTTCAGGCTCGGGGTGTGCCACAGTGTGACTCAGTGGTTAGGTGAATGCCTTGTCCCTTACTAGGGCCGAACAAACAAGAGACTCAGTCACGGATCATTTCAGTAGATCGTTTCAGTAGAAACCTGCCAGCAGGTTAGAAGATGGTCACTAGGTCACCAGAAGTGGTTCTTAGAGAAAGGAAATGGGAAACAGTTCTGGGAAGAGTGGGTTTCAGGCTGGTGGACACAGAGTAATGATCAAACCCATTCACTCAGGGGATGATTCCCTGAGGCAGCCTTCCAGGAAGATTTCAGATCCAGGTTTTCATTCTCTGACCCTGCAGGGAAGGATAAGGGGGACACCCTTGACATTCTCCACAATCCCTCACCAGACAGGCTTTTTGGTTTCTAATGTTGGTTTAATTCTTGGTTTCCTTGGGTGGCTGTTATGACATGAGACTGAATTTAGTTCCCAGTACGGGGACTACTTTCCACCTAGAGTCAACCCTTGAAGACTGAAATCAGGGATTAAATCAGAAGCAGAAACCGTCATGTTCAAGTGGACTGTTCAAACTGATTAACAAACAGCCCAAGCTGAATCATTGCTGGAAACCTGAGCAATGGAGTTCTGGAAAGTAACTAAGCAATCTGAGACACCAAGAAGAGGCCTGGGGCCAGAAGAAGTCGAAAAGTTCACATCCCCGGCATCATACACCTTTGTGAGGAGAGATCAAATGGCTTCTCCTACGACCTTGTGCTTTTTCCTTACAACCCTTTTGGAGACTTGACTTTCAAAACTTTTACTGGTGCCACACTTTGCTTATGTCAGGAAGTATGTACTGTGACTTATGTGTTGTCTGTGAATGTCAGGGTTTGGAAAGATTTGTAATATTTGCCTCACAATTTGATGTGTTTTTCAGGTTGTTCTCACTTATCAGTGATTATAGCTGGACAAGGAAATGTAATGTAATAAAGGGGGGGGGGGTGGCTTAGATCACCTTGACTCCAGAGAAGGACAAGGAAGGAAGGAGAAGGACAGAGAAGGACAGAAATCAAAGGTAGAGGGAAGAAGAGAATGTAAAGTAATAGGGGAATAGGGGTCGGGGCTTTGAAATGTGCCTATGGAGGAGGGGGTATTGGGAGGAATTTTGGGAATGATGGTGGGGGAGAGTTGGCATGAGTGTTGAGCTTGGTCTTGAAATACTGTGTGCCTAAAACCGTACCATTAATCATCCCTTTATAAATCATGGTTCTTGAAATTTCGAATACTTAAAATTTTTTATGTGTTTCCAAACAGAAAAGGCTTTGTATTTTCTCTTGTTATGAGAAAGAAATCTTCAAAGCCAAAAACTGCTAATTTCCATTAGCAGTGGACATTAGGGACTGAATATTACCGTTATAATCCAACTAAGATTATAACCACTGATTTAAAATAGAAAAAAATCAACTGATTAGGTATACAACCAGAAAATAAGATAAGAGATCTCAATCTCTCCCTTTTCTATATGCCTTTACCTGAGATCAGTATTTTGTGACTTTCCTAAGGGGGAGGGGTGCGGAATCAGGGGATAAGATTAAGTATTTTTGTGTGTACGGGGATGAAGGTATTGACATGTCACAAGCTGCAGATACAAGACCCCCACCAGGACCAGCATTTCATCTCTGAACTCCAGCGTTCTGATTCCTAACAATCCCCCCTTCCTGTTTTGTTGCTCCATAAACTAGTTGTCTGGCAGCAGTTGTCTGTCCAACTAATCCTGGATAGCTTCCAGGACTTGATTGGGTAGCGCTGGAACCTCTCTGGCATCTGGACATCCTCAGGCAGAGGAAACTAGATTTCGTGTTGTGATTCAGTCTGGTTGACCCTTGGGAACAAACAACTCCAGAATGGTGAATCTACTGGATGTCCTCTAAATCACACTTGTCTAAGTCCTTCCTGCATCTTGTTTAAGTCTTTACTGCATGCTCTAATTTATACAAAAGGGCAAATTACTGAAATATACTGCTTTCTCTCTTCCTCTACTGGCAACCTATTAAGAAATCACAATAACAGATCAAATTTACTTCTGCTAAATGTTTATAGTTATTTTGAATAACACTGTCCTTCCTGTTGTTCATCGATTTGCTCGAACAGGCCCAGTAACATCTCTATTGTGAGACTTGTTACTGTGTTTGGCATATCAAATACATCAAGAGGAGCTTGCCAGACTTTGCCGTGTGGGCGAGATACTCTTGGTAGCTTGCCAGGCTCTCCAAGAGGGGCCGAGGAATCAAACCTGGCTCGGCCGGGCTGGCTGTGTGCAAGGCAAACGCCCTACCACTGCGCTATCCCTCCAGCCCAATTTTGAATAAACACAGTAATAAATATAGACTCCTTTTATCTATACTCTTTTAAGCTTGAACAGTCTCTCTGGACTCATGGTAAAGGGTTAAAGCACATGACTTTTCCTAGGCACGTCTCGCCATATTTCCCAGATTACAGTCCTCAGGCCAGGTTAGCTTTTTCTAATCCCATAAGTTTCTTTTAAGTTGCTTCCTTTGGGTCAGAGCCTGTTCTATGACCACACTCTTGACCAATTATATTTCTTGTGGGCCCTAAGAACCTTCATCCTGAAGCCAGGGTAGCTGACTACTCATCTCAGTTTCTTCATCCAAAATCCTTGGTTGGAACCACCTTTAGGGGTGATAGGAATAAAGGTCAATCTTAGGACAACTTAACGTTAAGTTTCAAGTAAATGCTATGAATGCCCAGGAGTTTCAAGATTCACCTATACACCAGCATTTTTTGGAGTTAATTAACTCTCATATTACAAAAGTATAGCATTCTCTGTCTTCCTGTACCTATACAAAAAAAGAGCTTGTTCTTAAATAGAATCATACAAAAGGCATATAGTAGAGATAAAAGCAAATATTTCACTTATATGACAATGCAGTCTTCCACAAAAGTTTCTTAGATTATTTAAAAAAAAGTATCTGATATGATCTCATACCAAATTGCTTAAATTTATAAAATCCAGTTCTTATAAGCTTATACACTTTCACACAATTTTTATACAAATATAACTGTACATTTAATCAAAGTGACACGTTCGTCAAAAGCATTCAAGATTGCATATAAGACCATGCTTATTTAATAAAATCAGGACCATGTTGACACGAGTCGTAAGGCTACTCTGACATTGATGATGTCCTGACTTCTCTTCTTTAACTTTAAATTCTGAAAACAGTTCGTATGATATAAGTTAGGTATTGCTGATACACAGCTCAGGGAATCTTATACACAGTTAAAGTTTATATCTGTAAAACAATCCTTTAAGAGCACATAGTCTAAAGGGGACAAAGTTGTTAATTTAGCTATGTTCACCTTAGTTTGAAGGTTGAATATTATTCCTTTATTAGAGGTCAGGAACCTAGTATTCTACCAATAATTTGAACTTCAAACTTTCCTTCAGATTTTGCTTCTGGGGACAGGAGTAATGCTATCCCACATTTTATTTACTAAGTGGAACCCCCTCTGTGAGGAGCCTGTGGAGGGGTGTTGGGTGTTATGCATAAAAGTATGGATACAAGGCCTCTCAGTTCATTTGCTAGATATTTGATAACATGGTTCTAATAATATAGGCATTGAGAGGTCTATTTTATGAGCCATCTTTTCTCAAATTCAAACACAACCACAGACAAGACAACACTGCTAAATCAGAATTAACAAAACCAAATTTCAAGAATAACAAAAACCAAATCTCAAACATAGGTACAATCAATTTTTTTTATGAATAAGTTGTATCCCATGGTACTGGTTAGAGTAAATTTTTGCA